AATATGCAGTTGAATCACAGTCGTGTGCTGATCAAACCGTGGCTATCACGCTGCCATATCGTGGATCCGTGACCGAAGCCATTCGCGTTTTGATACAGTGAAGGTGCTGTTAGCTGTATTTCGGTTGCAGCTCAGGCGTGACTAAGCGGTAAACACGTTGGAATGTCAGTCGCGAAAGGCAAAATGTAGCCGACGTTATGTTCATTTTTCAAAAGCCGTCTGAGGATGATGCATGGAAGTGGTCGAAATCAATCACCTGAAAGTTGTAATTAGGTAGGAGCCTGTATGTGTCATCATTTTTTTCCATGTAGTAGTTTGAAGTTCTCTTAGCTGTGTATAACTCGAACTTCTGAAAGAGCTGTGTTCACAAGGAAGAGGATTATGGAAATATACATACATACATACATACATACATACATACATACATACATACATACATACATACATACATACATACATACATACATACATATGCTGACACAGGGTAGCACATCATGTGGTTGACACACCAGAGACCCTTTCATCTGACTATCCTGCCTCCTACTTATTCCGATAGAATGCTGTCTGATATTGCAGCTGTTTAACCCTATTCCTGGCGGGGGGGGGGGGGCCTCAGGAGCCCCCCTGAGGTTTTTTTTGGTTATTTCTCCCAAACGCGTTGAGCTAGGAAGCTCAAATTTTCTGACTTTTCCTAAAAGGCTTCTACGCAACATGTCTGAAAATTTTGAGTTGATCTGACCTCAGGTCAGGTCACCAGAGGCGGTTTGGTGACCCTACCTCAGAAAAGTTTGCAATCACGCCAGAGCTAGAGTTTTTGACCGATCAATTTCTTCTCTTCAGGCTTAGTTAGGGTACCAGTATGTGCAATTTGTTTATCTCGGAATTTTGATATCGGTGACCTAAGGTCAGGTCAGTTTCGCGACCTCCCCATTATAAGTCAATGGGGGAAAAATCAACTCCCTGTTTTTACCACTAAAACGGTCGGAATGGCCCCATATACCATACATGACTTCATATACGATCAACCTTCACTACCTTGAGGTCTGTTTTGCTGTTGGGCAGCTGTGAGGTCATGTGACGTCATCAAAGGTCACCAAGGTTTTTTGGCCAATAACTCCGTACAGGAACAAGATACAGACGCGTGGATGGTCTCATTGTGTTCAGCTCGTCAAGACGCATCGAATGATATACATGATGACCTCGAGGTCACGTGACCTGAGGTCAACCTTTGACCTTGACCTTTCGAGTCAACATGTATATCATTCGATGCGGATTGACGGAGGATCACGATGATGCCCTTAGTTTGTTCCTATCTTGACTAATTCGAAAGTTATTCGAGAAAACTCTCTCCATATCTAGCGCCGCCATTTTGACTTTTTCGACCCCTGTGACGTCATCTTTGACCTGACCTGAAAATGACCTTTGTAAAAATTGTAGATCTTGACCGTGCGTATCCGATGCCGTTTACCGTTTGTCGCTGCGATGTGTTTTTTGAGATCTGAAGGGGGGGGCCGAATCGGCCCCCCCCCCGCCAGTTTCTTGTCCCGGCGGAGCCCGCCAGGAATAGGGTTAAGCCAGCCGGGCCTGGGATTTACCTCGATTACTTACAGGGTTCGGGATGGGGGCGCTTACCCGCCCTTTGTCTAACTTCGTAATCAACTAAGCTACGGAAACAAAAACAGTGCTCAATGAAAGGTCTTCGTAATGTTTCTAAATGGCCGAACAATTAACCTCAGGTCAATTTCAAATGTCGGGGGTCAAGGCCAAAGGAAGTTTGTGGGTGTAGTGCGTACTGCGTTGTCATTTTTTATCGACTGATACACGCATAACTATTGTAACTTGGTGTTTTTGCTTTGTGCGGATGTACTGTTTTCGTAAGTTCTTTTTTAGATAATACGGTGCATAGGTGGCGGAACGAGGGGCGCTTCGGGCACCGTGCCCCCTTTGATTTTGGCATTTTAACATTAGCCCTATGGGCGTTGCATGGAAAGAATGTGACCAAAGTCGGCAGTGCCCCCCCCCCCCTTAATTGAAGCTGTTCCGCCGCCACTGATACGGTGGTGACATACGTAGATCCCTATGTCCACCATTCTCTTTTTATGGGTATGAAAAAGGCACGATTGTCGTTGACGCTAGGCACCCAAGAAAATGAGCTCCACCAGAACTGTTAACGAAAACTCAGAATGACAGTGATCACATTTAGCTCGAGTTAGAGCACGGCGAAAAGGTACATGACTTAATTCCTTGAGCCTTGCTAAATCGAAGGGTTTCAGGAACTGTGTGAACTGATGAAAATTGATCCGTCTACTTTTATGAAGAAGCGTAGTGGCTCATGATAGCGTGACTTGGCTTGTAAGTGTAAATATGTATACATTGGCACAATGAGCCACTCGCAAATGTGCTTCAGCCGACCTTGTGTCATCACTCGTCTGCCATGCCAGTCTAGGTGCACACTCATTACATAACGCTCATCATTTATTACAAACGAATCCAAGTCATCAGCCCCGGTATGACGCAATGACAGAGATGTACAAATCTGATTTTCCCTGTAATCACAAATTGATGAATTTGTAACCCTGCTATGATTCGTAATTGTCTATAACTCAAACAAAGGAGTAGTTGGCAACAATCAGAAGGCATCCAACTTAGTTTCTGTAAATTTTCATCAATATGCTGCCTGCTGAGAGGTGAAATTTATTATAGCAGAGGTTACATTTATTGTAAGGTATGTACAGTCATCAAGCGTAGTCAAAGAAGAAACACTCCAAGTGCAATTACACTATGCAACAAAAATGAAACATTTTCTGTTCCTGGAAAGCGACCGAATTTTTCTTATTCATTGGGTCCTATTAACCGAAATGGGCATTAGTTTTGATCTGAAAATGCTTTTCCGGTTTTCAGAGACGATTTTCGACTTTTGGCCCCGAAATTCGGTTTTTGGCCCACCGTGTCCGATGTACTTGAGTAATCGACTCGCGGTAACTTTCATCGCCTTTCCTATGCCACAAGCTTTCGAATGATATCTGGTTTTGCATATTTGCGTGCAAAAAATACGTCATTAATCTATGTTAAAGTAAGAAAATGTTGAAATTTTGTAAAAATTTGACATTTTTTTCGATTTCATTTCAAAATAGAGGAAAAACTAAAGGCCCTATCCAAATTCTGAGCCCAGTTCCTTGACGAGCATTCAATTTCCATTGGAAGGTACCTTTTTAGTGCATTTTATCGGATTCCTGTGGCGTCCAGATGGAGCTAACCTAAACACATATCCTAAGTCATATCACATAGCATTAACCTGATAACGTATGTTGACGCCATAGGATCAACGAGGGGTCAACTGAGGTCATGTTATTGACTCCTTGTGACCTCGGGTCACACGCAGGAACTTACTTTTGAGCAGTCCTGTCGCTCAGAATCTTGATCTGTACCTCCATTTGTTAGAATGATTCTTCATGCACTGAACACATATTGTCATGGAAATGGCTGGGGGTCCGTTTTTCAAGTGACTCAATCTGGACGCCACAGTAAACCGATAAAATGCACTAAAATAGTACCTTCCGAACGGAAATTGAATGCTCTTCAAGAAACTGGGCTCAGAATTTGGATAGGGCCTTTAGTTTTTTCTCTATTTTGAAATGAAATCGAAAAAAATGTCAATTTTTACAAAATTTCAATATTTTCTTACTTTAACATAGATTTATGACGTTATTTTTACACGCAAATATTTTTTTTTATAAATTTAGTCCGAACCTTTTGATGGGAAGGATTCACAAGGACAGAGCCACCGCTAAGCGAAGCTTGTTGCGATGACCCTGCCCTCTACCCTCCGATCGCGCAATTCCGATTTTATGGCAGAATTTAGAGGCCAAAGTTTTACGTGCGCACAAAGCCGCGCACGGCGGTCCCCTCGCTGACTTCGCCTGGCTACGGCCTGCCACCAACCGCAACCATACCTGTCAGGAGGCCCATAAATGTCGAGCGCCCGTCGCGCTTCGAACCCGGACTGTCATAACCGGGAACGCGTGCTCTCACCACGCGGAGTCCAACGCTCTAACCAACTGAGCTACGGGACCGGCTGTCTTGCAAACCGGATATCATTCGAAAGCTTGTGGCATAGGAAGGGCGATGAAAGTTACCGCGAGTCGATTACTCAATTACACCGGACACAGTGGGCCAAAAACCGAATTTCGGGGCCAAAAATCGAAAATCGTCTCTGAAAACCGGAAAAGCATTTTCAGATCAAAACAAATGCCCATTTCGGTTATAATGGGACCCAATGAGTCCAAAAAATCGGTCGTTACTAAGGAACAAAATGCCTGTTGCATAGTGTTATTAGCCTATAGTTGATGAAATGCAGTCTATCCACTCCTCGGTACACTGAAGGAATGGAGACTGTCGCTAAAACTTCATTACTGAAGTTACTGGTCCGGATGAGAGTGAGAAGAGAGAGTGAGAGAGAGAGAGAGAGAGAGAGAGAGAGAGAAGAGAGAGAGAGAGAGAAGAGAGAGAGAGAGAGAGAGATAGAGAAAGAGAGAGACAGAGAGATGGACAGAGAGACAAAGAAAGAAAGAAAGAAAGAAAGAAAGAAAAAAGAAGAAAGAAAGAAAGAAAGAAGAAAGAAAGAAAGAAAGAAAGAAAGAAAGAAAGAAGAAGAAAGAAAAAAGAAAGAAGAAAGAAAGAAAGAAGAAGAAAGAGAGAGAGAGAGAGAGAGAGCGAGAGAGAGAGAGAGATAGAGGAGAGAGAGAGAGAGAGAGATAGAGATAAGAGAGAATATAGAGAGAGAGAAAGAGTGACGAAAAACAAGACAGTCGGGGGATGAGCCAAATGGAAAGGATAGAGAAATATAGGAACAGAAGGAAGAGATAGATGAAATAACGACACACCTAATCGAGGCAGTGTCTCACCCCGTCACTTCTACACAATAAGAAGTGCCCAGGACGTCCCATCATCCGACTCCGTCATTCTCCCCGCAGTTTTCCTTGCCCCGCCCTCTCGCGGCTCTACCCCGTCCCCTGCAGCCGGTGCTCGCAGATGTATCCGTGCAATGTAGTCGGACTCATGTCATTCCACTCTCGCAGCTCCGCCGCCAGGTTAGTGGCTATGAAGAGGCCGTTGTGGTTTTCGTTGGGCTGCCCGCTGTACCAGGCGGTGTAGGTTACCGGTGAACCGTCCGTCCAGCGCGCGCCGTCAGCAGGAGCGCCCAGCGGCCAGAACATGCCGATGTGGAAGTAGACGCCGCCCGCCTGCCGGGCCAGGGTGGAGATGAAGTCGTTCTCGGCTGCGGAACTGATGGAGACCAAGTGGGAGCCGGTGCCGGCAGAGTTGCAGGCGAGCTCGGCGTCCGGCCACGAGAGAACGGCGGGGAACACGCGGTAGCAGCCACCGGAGAAGACACTCCAGTCGGGGGGACAGGTCACTGGGGTGCAGGTGAAGCCCGGGTCGAGGCTAGGGTCGAGACCCGGGTCAGGGTCACTCACTCGCAGGCCCACACAGAGCGGCTCGACGAGACAGCGGAGTCCACACTGGATTACAGAGCCGCTCTGCAGCGTGGTCAGAGCTGTGTGGTTGATGGGTGGGTCGGAGCTGAACCAGCGACCAGCGCCGGCGCTGGGCGCTGGGAGCAGCACCAGCACAGCAACCACCGCCAGCACCCGGACGGAGTGGCCGGGTCGGAGCGAGGTCATCGCTGTCGGCAGGGGCGAGGGACGGGGATGGGGAGACGTAGAGACGGCGCAGATATAAGAGACTCACTGGAGACGTAGAGAGACGTAACTTTGGAGCTCCAAGAGACGGTAAAGAATGAGACGGTGCCGTTCTTAGAGGTAGTAGAACTTTTAGTAGATGATGAAGAGATTCAATGACGGAAGTCTAGCGTTATCCTCTAGATAATACCAGACTGCAGAGGACTCAATGTAGGTTGTAGATTTCTGCCCGGTAGCTTCGAGTTTGTGATGATATTTTGGACAAAGGTCAAGCAATTTGACAACTGACAAGTCAACACGACGATAAACAGGAGATGCGCTGCTCTTCTTCCCGGTAAGCTGATTAAACCACTGCCTTCGGTTAAAGATCTACTGTGTGAGACGAATGGTATCCAGCTCACAACTTCCAGCACCCTGTTTCCAGTTCGATATCCGGACCACGTTCACCGTGTGGGTCCGTCAGTCATACTGACCGAGTACCATTCCCCAGCGCGGTCCCCTGGGGTACTTATAGGTGCCCCCGTGCCGCCCACTTGGAGTGCTTTGTCCACTTACCCCCGCCCCCACCCCCACCCCGTCCTTACCGACGGGACTGTCAGTGAACAAACCGACAGGCGGGACTGGAGTTGAGGAAGACGCGGGCAGCCGGGTCGGTAATGGAATCAGACAGACAGACAGACAGACAGACAGACAGACAGACAGACAGACAGACAGACAGACAGACAGATGGACGGCCGAACAGACAGGCAAGTAGACAAACAAACAAGTAGAAATAACAAACAGGTAGGCAGGCAGGTAGACACACAGACACATAAGCTCACATGTGCTGGGCACACACACGGTAATGAGCAAAATACTCTATGAATTATCATACCGTGCAGAAAATTAGGTACTTATAGGTAGTTTTAGACGATCGATGAACATGCCACTATCTTTAAGAAACTAGTAACTTTGTCGATGAACGAAGTCCTACTAGTTTCTTTTTCTTTCTTTCTTTCATTTTCGTCCACGGAGAAACGTGCCAAACAACACATAGAAATTTGAAAAACACAAAAGATTAAATATTTCATATTTGTTAGCCGTTGTCAGCTGCCTGGCATCGTCCGCGTCACAGAAATACGCCAGATCCGAACGGGGTGGACCACATGTAGCGACATCTACGAATATGCTGCTTGGCTTCAGATGGCGCTACTAGCCGATACATGCAGTCGTACATTCCGCATTGCAGCCAGGTGAACCGCACTTAGACAGGACAGACATTTCATATCATCTTACGTATATAAGCAGCCTTCTTAAGTTCTAAATTAATGACGACGGAAACAGTGGCGCTCCTGGAAAAATTATATGTGTAACGGAGTGGATGATCGGAGGAACGCAGCGCCTGCCCACTTCTGCTTCTTACCATATCAAACGCTCAGTCAAATAAGCATTCACCGTTCCGTGCTTCTATCCTCAGGATACTGAAATCTTTCTCCTCCACGCCGCAACCCCCCTCCGGACTGGACAGGCAACTTTATCTCATGCGGGCTGCTCCCTTGGAGCGGCACCGCTGCTCCTGAGGGAGGGCACCCCGTAGCCGGGTGCAGTGAGTACCTTGGGACTGGTCGGCCTGTCCTTCGGGATGGGCTCAGCCCCGGTGACTCACTAGGGTGCCTGCCCAGACCAATGTCTCCCCCTAATTCCTATCATCCTTCCGGCTCTGAAATGGTCTAATTGGACCGAAAGGGCCTAACCCAACAAAACAAAAACAAAACAAATAAGCATTTATTGATGCATAGAGGTATACACTTGGGCAATGGACATTGCATGAGCATTAGTCCGTGTGTGCCATGCCGTCCACAGACTGCTTTCCCTAATCCTGTTGGTCCAGATCTTCTACGAAAGCCAGGTCAGTTCCCTTCAACTTTTCTTCCACCCACTTGTCGAACTTCTCCGTCATCTCGGGGGTGAAGTGGTTCTTCCAGTCACCCACCTTACCCTTCCTGATGAAGCTCCCTCGGTCCGGGTACATCAAACCAAGCGCCTTCATGTACTCATAGTTCACCCACGGGTTGTTCTTGAAGTTGTCGAAGTGTAGATGCTCCGCCAGCTTGTCCACCTGTTCGTCGGTGAAGTCCTTCCCCAGGAACTTGGCCACCTTGCGGATCTCCGTCTTCATGTCCTTCTTCATGTCCTCGTAGAAGAGGAAGCAGAGGTTGGGGTGGTGACGCAGGTTCCACGCCTCGATCACGTGCTCGATGGTCCCGCTTTCGACAACATTCCCTTCTATGAAGTACTCCATAAACAGCTGAAATAAAGAGCGTGGATAGAATAAAGGGTCTCAATAATGCTTTAGAACGATATGAACGCAATCGGAAGCGAAACAACTCTGTGCAGCAAATCCGATTGTATGCGAGTCCATAGGCGGCGGAACGGGGAGGGCACCGGGGCACCGTGCCCCCCTTTGATTTTGGCATTTTAACATTAGCCCTATGGGCGTTGCATGGAAAGAATGGGACCAAAAGTCGGCAGTGCCCCCCCCCCCCCCCTTAATTGAAGGTGTTCCGCCGCTACTGTGCGCTGCGAGTCGATATCAAGCATGTGTAGCTCGCACGCTGAAGTCCAGCCAGAGAAAGTATTTCATAAACCATCTGGGCTTTATTATTTTGTTTATTATTTTGACAACCCAAAATGACAGCTTATTATGACTAGACAAAAAGATAATAATAATGCATTTATTACCAGGCCAGAACCAGAACAGAAAGTTTCCGAGTTCAAGGAAAAGCTGCCAACACTCGGTTTTGACGTACCTCCAGGCTCCCCGTGAAGTTATGCAGACGCAGCAGCCTCATATGGTGGTAGAGCGAGACACAGACGTCCTTGGGGTTCCTGGCGACGTAGACCACCTTGCAGACATCCAACAGGCGCGGGTTGTTGAGGGAAAACGGCAGGTGCGACTTGACGAACCGCGGTGAGGGTCGGTTTGGATCGCTGGCAGCTGCGGAGCCGTTCGGGATGACGCCCTGAGCTCTGAGCATGGCGACCAGCCCTTTGTCCAGAACGGCCTTGAACTCCATAAAACTCCACCTGGAAAATTCATGAAGAAGTTTACACTACAACTTAACCCTCGCCGGCCGAGGGGGGGCGGGTGCCGCCCCCCTCATTGTTTTTTTTTTTCGCGATAGCTCCGAACACGCTGGCGATAGAGAGCTGAAACTTGAGATACCTTACCTTTGATTCAAGCCGCATCTTTTGACACCAACCGCATTTTGGGTCAGGTCAGGTCACTGATCTATGACGTCATAAGTGAACCTCTGCACGGTCTTCAGATGTCGCAACTTCGCAACGCCCTCACTGCCAGAGGAGATGTCACAGGGAAATGAAACTTGCAGGATCTAGTATCCATTATGAGTCTCACAACTTGAATATCTCGGATTTTTCCTAAAGGTCATATGAGGTCAGGTCATTTTCGTGACTTCACCATTATAAGTCAATGGGGAAAAATGAAAACTGCTATTCTGGTGCCGGGAACGATCTCCAACTATCTCAAGCACACAGAATCGTGATTTGATGCACTCCTTGCAAGGTTAGATGCGTCACTTTTGCAATGTTGACCTTGCGTGACGTCATATATGACGTCATCAAGGTCAGATTAGTTTTTCGTCAATAACTCCCGACTAAATTGAGCTAGCGAGTCGAGAAAGCCACCAATGGACTCAGGAAGACCTGTCGAATCGAATGATATGCGACATGACCTCTTTCGACCAACATCGTGACCTGGGGGTGCTGACCTGACCTTGACCTGAGGTCAACACCTTAAGTTGACCTGACCCGAACAAAAAGTATATCATTCGACGCGCCTGAGCGAGGCGAACACGATGCTGCCAAAATCGCGGCTCTGTGGCCGTTTTTTGCGAAGTTATTCACCAAAAACTGAACCGTACCTTGGGGCACTTGACCTGACCTCAGAGGTCACCGGTTGACCTAGGACCTTAAAATCGGATACCAATCTCTGCGTCTCGTAACGGCGCACACGCTCGTTTTTTCCGCGACGCGCTAGCTCCACCAGGGGCGAAACGGCGGGGGGTCGTACCCGCCCCCCCCCCCCTCCTCGGCCGGCGCGTATGTAAAAAACCAATAGGTCCGGCGAGAGTTAAAGCTCAACAAAGGGTCAATGCCAAATTAAAAAAATAACAAAAATACGGCTTTTAACTTTGGAACATTCCAACCAGGGGCGGATCCAGGAAAACTCCAAGGGGAGGGTCATGAATCGAAGTGGTGCCCCTACCTATACCCAAAATTAAAAACTCAACGGATTTCGTCCACTTCATTTTGGTGGTGCCCCCATTTTCAGTTTTTTATTTTTATTTTTTATTTTTAGTCAGTATCTTAACTCTTAGCCACAACCACATTAAACCAATTGTAAGCAAGTATATATGAATGTGCTATGTGTATATGTTACGGGTATATATGTTGTGGACGCTGAGTAGTGAGTACTTACCAGGAACGTTATCAGGTAAGCAAATCGTTGTCAGTCCGACGAACTTGACCCTGGCGTCTAAAGGGTCTGTCCTTGACACTTCAGGCTTGTCAGGGGCACCAAAGTCCTTCCAGGGACACCACAAACCTGTCAGGGGCACCTACGGCCTTGTAGGGGCGCCACAGGCCCGCCAGGAAGCAGGGGCACCACAGGTCTAGCAAGTATACACGACAGGAAAGGGCACAACGGGCCTGTTGGGCCCATGAGCACCCCTAGGGGCAGGGGCACCACAGTCCTTCCAGGGGCACGCAGGCCTGTGAGGGGCACCAGCGGCCTAGCAGGGGCACCAGTCAACACAGGCGTGCCAGGGGCACCACAGGCCTGCCAGGGGCACCAGAGGCCTGCCAGGAGCACCACCGACCTCGCAGGGGTAACTTGGGCCTGTCAGAGCCCAGGGGCACCACGGGCCTGTCGAGAGGGGCACTTCAGGCTTTTCAGGGGCACCATAGTCCCCTCCGGGCGCAGGGGTAGCAGGGGCACCAGAGGCCTGCCATGGGCACTACAGGCCTAGCAAGGGCACCACTGGTCTATCAGGGACACCACGAGCCTGTCATAGCCAGGCATCTCAGGCTTGTCAAGGCCCAGGGGCACCACAGGTCTGTGAGGGGCACCAGCGACCTAGCAGGGGCACCAGTCAACACAGGTCTGCCAGGGGCGCCACAGACCTGCCAGGGGCACCACAGACCTGCCAGGGGCACCAGAGGTCTGCCAGGGGCACCTTGGGCCTGTCAGGGGCACCATAGACCTGCCAGGGGCACCACAGACCTGCCAGGGGCACCACAGACCTGCCAGGGGCACCAGAGGCCTGCCAGGAGCACCACCGACCTCGCAGGGGTAACTTGGGCCTGTCAGGGCCCAGGGGCACCACGGGCCTGTCGAGAGGCACTTCAGACTTTTCAGGGGCACCAGTCCTCTCCGGGCGCAGGGGTACCAGCGGCCTAGCAAGGGCACCAGAGGCCTGCCAGGGGCACCAGCGGCCTAGCAAGGGCACCAGAGGCCTGCCAGGGACACCACCTAACAAGGGCACCACGGGCCTGTCAGGGGCACCTCAGGCTTGTCAGGGCCCAGGGACACCACAGTCCTTCCAAGGGCACCGCAAGCCTGTCAGGGGCACCAGAGGCCTGCCAGGGGCACCACAGGCCTAGCAAGGGCACCACTGGCCTGTCAGGGGCACCTCAAGCTTGTCAGGGCCCAGGGGCACCACAGTCCTTCCAGGGGCATTACAAGCCTGTCAGGGGCACCAGAGGCCTAGCAAGGGCACCACAGGCCTGCCATGGACACCACAGGCCTGCCAGGGGCACCACCGGCCTTGCAGGGGCGCCTCAGGCCTGTCAGGGGCACCACGTGCCTGCCGGGGACACTTCAGGCTTGTCAGGGGCGTTACAGTCCTGTCAGGGCCCAGGGGCACCAGGCCCGTGGTGTCCCTGCTAGGCCTGTGGTGCCCCTGGCGGTCCTGTGGTGCCCCTGTCAGGACTGTGATACCTCTGATAGGCCGGTGGTACCCCTGGCAGGTCTTTGGGCCCCCGGGCCTCAAGGGGGGGGGGGCCATGACCCATGTGACCCCCCATTGGATCCGCCCCTGATTCCAACTGCAGAAATGTGGGCACAAGTTCCTTATTACGACCGCAAACTTCACAATACTTCAGTTGCGAAATTCCTTTAGGAGTGTCGGTTGAAATGCAGAACAAAATGAAGCATGACACTTTGGCGCCCCAGGGCTGCGGAGTCGGAGTCGGAGTCGGAGTCTGTCGGAGTCGACAATTGTGACCGGAGTCGGAGTCGGAGTCGGAGTCGATTTTAGAAACCCGAGCCGGAGTCGGAGTCGGAGTCACCGAAAATCTGTCGACTCCGCAGCCCTGCTAGGTCTGCGGAGTCGGAGTTGGGAGTTGGAGTCGGTCGGAGTCGACAGTTCTGCCCGGAGTCGGAGTCGGAGTTGGAGCTGGTTTTTGAAAGCCGGAGTCGGAGTCGGAGTCGGAGTCGCCGAAAATCCATCGACTCCGCACTGGCAGCCCTGGGCGCCACTATCAGCCACCGCATCTATAAAGCAGACCTTTACTTCCCATAGTCGGTTCTTTTCAAAAGTGGTAGGTACCGAATGAGCGCTTAAGTTCCTAACACTCATCAATCGAAGAAGGGGCATTCCACGTCAAGTGGGACAAAAAATGATCATTTTGAACCTCACTTCCTCCGATTTTTGCGAAACTTTGTGAAACTACTCATCTATATGTGAAAAGAATGGAGACATATTTTTGTCAAGATATGACGTCACGTTTCCGAGATACACGTCATCAAACATTGACTTAGGCAAGGCACATTATCATCTTTAGAGCGTCATAACCATTGAAGTTTTAGACATATCACCACGAGACAAAGTGTGAAATGGAGGGAATAGGTCAGGCTTTAATTTTAGGATAACAATATTGTTGCGTTCACTCACCGAGCACTCGTCGATAACTGCCGCGTCCGTGCGGCGCTGGCCCGCGCGGAGCGGGACGGGGTTGTGACCTCCAGTGCCCCGGGGCAAGGTCAGCTGGCGGTCGGATGATCGTCCGGTCACGCGCAGGGGCGGTCGCGCGCGCACAGTGAGGGGAGGCCGAAGTGTGACCGCCACACACCTCCCTCCCCACTTCCAGCTACATCTTCGTGTAGGTGAGCCGATCAGGCTCGTTGCGGTTTCGCAGCGGGTAGCGGTTCAGCTGCGGCGGGGAGCAGGTCTCAGATTCAGCAGGCTCCTCGGTGGGCTCATCCTCAGCAGCCCTCGGTCCGTGAGAACCGTCCGGTACCGCGCCATGACGCAGGTCTTCCACGGCCAGGTCCACGAACGAGTCCAGGCGGGTCTCGTCAGCCCGACGTGCAGGCGCCGGCGCCGGCAGGACGGGGGCCAGGGTGCCGGCGTCCGAGCTGCAGTCCTCAGAGAGCAGTCGGCCAGGCCTCACTGGACAGGCACGCAGGCGGTCGTGGTGCACGATCATAGACCGCCTCCTGCCGTCTACTTCCCTCACTCGGTAGGTCACTTCGCTCTTCAACTGGAGAACCTCGAACGGTCCTATCCACTTGTTGGACAGCTTCGGACTGACGCCTACCTTCCTGTCCAGGTTTGACACCATGACGAGGTCCCCCGGAGCGTGCTGACTGAACCTGACGGTCTGTTTCTGTCTGTAGGCGCGCCTGCTGGACTCCACCTTCTCCTTCACCTCATGGCGCAGCTCGTCCAGTTCTTGGAGGCGTGATGCTATCTGGCTGTCATCTCGGGCGCGACCTGCCGCGAGATCTGTTGGAGTCGTGGCCTCATAGCCGAGCAGCAGCATATGTGGAGTCTGTCCCGTTGTTTCATGTACGCTTGTCCGGTAAGCCGCCATGACCTCCGGGAGCCGTGCATCCCAGTCAGCGTGATTTGTCGACACGTAGGACCGGAGCATGTTGCCGAGTGTTCTCATGAACCGTTCCGCTTGCGGGTTTCCTTGTGGATGATGGGGAGTTGTCCGACTTTTCTGGATGCCGAACCTTGCACACAGCATGCGGAAGAGCTCAGACTCAAACTGCTTCC